GGACTCTATTGATCCAGTTATCATTTCCTGTACCAGTACCAGTACCAGTGCCACACTATGTATTCCAGTTGCTCTATAACAGATTTTGATAACTGGTAGGGTAACCTCCTGCTCTTTTATCTTCTTTTTCATACATTTTATTGCTATTCTTGCATATTTTCTCTACCAAATGTCAGCTGACTTCTTTTGTTAAATAACCATCTTGGGATTTCAATAGGATTATATTGAATTTGTGAGGTAATCTGAGGAGAGTTGACATCTTTACAACATTCTAGAAAAATGGTATCTCATGTCATGCATTCATTTCTTCTTAATGATGTTCAGTAGAATTTTAATGTTTTCATCACATAGGTCTTACACATTTTTTGTTAAATTTATTCCTAGGTACCTTATGAATTTTTATTGACATTATGAATGGGTTCTTCCTTCCATTTTTCAGTCAGTTATTCATGGTATGTAGCAAAGCAATTGAGGTTTGCATGTTAATCCCTCGATTTTGCATGTAGCCATCAATTCTCATATTACTTCCAATGAAATCTTAGTTGATTCACTTGGGCTTTTTAGATTGTCCATCATTTCATATGCAAATATATTTTGTTTCTTCCTTTCCAGGACCTCATTTTTCTTAGTGAATGGATTAGGACTCCGTCAACAATGATGAATAGTAACAATAATAACAGGCATCCTATGCTTCTTCTTGACTTTAAAACAACACTGCTGTTTAGGTGGCTGGTAGACACTTTTATTTTCTTTCCTACTTCTAAGAGTTTTTATTAGGCATTATCTGTTGAATGTTAGCTAATACAGTCAATAAAATGCATTGTATTTTATTGCTGCATGCAAGATCCTAAGTTAGGACGAGTCAAAGGACTAGTAAACAGGATAGAATGCCAGTCCTCAAAAAAGAAAAGTTGTCACCTCCCTGGGTCGATAAGACTTAAAATCAAAAGGAATGAATAAAGATTTAGAGATAGTGGTCATAGTGATGGATAATCGTGATCATGTTGTTTTCCAAAACAGATTCATACTCATAGAAGAGCAGCAGAGGAAGGAAAAGAAAGAAGCTCAAGGTAAATAACAGTCTGGCATTTTTTAAAGTAGAAATTTAGAACTAGAGGAGAACTTAGAATTCATCTACTTCAATCTCCTCACTTTGCAGTGAGGAAAACACCAAGGTCAGGAAGAATACTGATTTACCCTAATGCTTTGCCTGGATTCAGCCAAATTCGCTCCTTCGCCAAAGCGAAGCTAGAATGGGACTGGCCCAGATGCATCTGCTGTCACTAGCCCCTTAAGCAAAGAGGGAGGAGAGGGAAAGGCTTTGGTTGTACCTGTTTCTGCCAGTGGTAGGCATCAGGCCAGGCCAGAGGCCTTCTAGGAGGCTCTGTACAAGGGGTAGGGAAGGCACATGGTCTTGGGGTAGCAGGGCTGGTCTCCTTCAAGGCTGATGGAGGTGGAATAGATGCACCCTTTCTGTAAAGCAGCAGGAGAACTTCCCTGCTCAGCCTACTGGTTTTCACACCCCACCCTCTATTCCCTTTATCCAAACCTCAAGAATGTTCACTGGGAGAGGCCTGAGACAGTAGTCTGTCTCTTCCTTTTATTACAAGGAAATGGAGAAGGAGAAAGGGAAAAGATCGTGCCCCATGTTCACACTGCTAGTGAGGGTCAGAAAGAACATGGTTCCTTGCCCGTTGGGGACTTCTCTGTTGATTATACTGTGCTTGGGCTGTGAGGCACATTTTATGTCATGACTCAGTGCACACACACCATATAGACATAAGGCGATCCTAATACAAACTTATATGTACTCTAATTTCTTTCTATTCCGTTTGTATTTGAAAAGAATATTTTGTGTTTTAGTGCTGGTCATGACCTTTAAACTGATGTCACGACTCCCTCACTCATCAGTGACAGCCTACGGTAGGAAATCAGCGAGCTGGAGAACTTGGCTAGTTGGACTCAGGCATTTAGTTGGTGTGATTTAACTCATAGTATAAATCAGCTAGGAAAATAAAAGCACCTTCTCCCTCACCCCGAACAAATGATGCATGCGAGACTAAGTCCAAAGGGGACTGATGTAAAATGCTTCTGGAAAGAGTTAAGTGCTTCCCCCAGGGCCGTGGTGCATTTTTTTTCACTGCACCAGGGCACTTGGCCAGGACCAAGGAGGTGAGTGGGGCTGAAAATCCTGCCCGTACTCCAGGCTAAGCCACAGACACATCACCCCAGAGTCGTTGTGGGGTCCTTGTGGACAGATACAGGGAACTTCTAGAAGTCTAGCTCGCATGGAATTACTTCCAAGGGCCCAGGTCTGTGGTGATTTTACTTGTTGTGATTATGGGCTGAGGTACCCATTTAGTTCTAATAAGTCCAGAGCTGTAGGTTGTGAGAGACGTGGAAAGTGGCATAAATGACTAATTATTGGTGTGTGTTTTTCTCCAAGGAGCTTCTTTCAGATTCTGCTGTATAAGAAATGCTCATCAGAAAGTGAGAGTCAGGTAAGTTTGAGGATAAAGTACCGTGGCAGGGGAAAGCAGGGGAAATGCAGAATTAATATTTCCCTGTCTGTTTTCTAGAAGAGCTCTTCATGGAGAAGGTGGCCACTTTGGCTTCGGGATATGTATAGACCTCTCAATGCCACACGCAAGGAAAAGATGACACAGAAACTACATGACCAAGATTCTTCTGATGATGATGAGACCACTGATAAAAGTAGCAGGTAAATGATTGGGGACGATTTATAATTCTTATCTAAAGTGAGGAAATAATGAGTAGTTTAATTGTGCCTTTCAACATTAAATGCCTTGGCATTCCTCTTCTTCATCCAGGGAACTTCACGAAGTCTTAGTAGAGAAGAGTCCTGTTATAAAATAGACTACTGACCAGCCAGGTGAGGAAAGGGAGACAGCTCATGACAACACCACAGAGTGAACCCTCTCCTGCCTCAGGGCACCTCCCCATTTTGTTTTGTAATATCAACTTTTCAGTATTGCTGGTCAAATTAAAATCTATAAATTCATAACCAACTCTGGCCATGTGGTAATTAATTAAAATATAAAGAGTTAAGTCTTTACATACAAATAACAAGTGTCGTTGATGAGAAAAGCAGGGCTGAGGTTAGAGCCCCTGTGGTAGCCAGTACTTCCTCCAGAGGCAGTGCAGGCAAAGAAGCATGAAGAGGGGCTTCTCTTCCTCGTTTCCCCAGAATAGTGCCCCCCTGGGAACTGGAGACACATCGTCCCTAAGGGGTGTCAGTTACTAAGTCAAATAAGCACTCATTCAGGTGCTCTCTCCCCGGTTCACCAAGTGCCAGTTATGTACAACATACTTGACCTCCTGCCCAGCGAGGACCATTCACTTCTGACCCCTCCCACGAGGTCTTTGGGGCTGCCGGGATATTTGGATCACTAAGCCTACCTTCACGGTGGGGGCTGTTTTTGTCCCCAAGCTCTTAAACTCATGAACAAATGTGTGCCTTGTCTTGGCTCCAGGATGGCAGCTGTGTGACAGGCTGAGGAGGTTACTAGAACACACTGGAGAACAGACCCGGAGAGAGGGCTCTGAGGGAAAAGGGAGGAGGGCTGAGGGTGTGATCATGGCAGGCTGTACAGAAAGACAAGGCGAGGAAATTAAAAATCAATGTAATCAGAGTACATTCTTAACCTCAGTGGTGAGTAATATTTACATAGTCACAAACCTCTAAACACTGTTAATTGACTGGAAATAGTAATAGTTAACTGAACGTCAAGAATGGACTTGGGGTGGGTCAGGAAGGTGTAAAAGAACTAACTTCTTGTTTATGTTAGGAATTCAGTAGACAGTATCTAAAGTGGCTAAATCAAGAGCTAGAAGTGCATGAGACATGGAGAGGAGCACCAGAAGATTCAGCTAAAAGCCTCTCCCCAGAAGTAACCAGCCCAATATGCTGGCTGGAGGGGGCAGGAGGGTCGGGGCAAGGAACTGCTAAGGATCATTATATTTTATCACCATGTCATTCCATTTAATACTATTTAAACTGTGAACTAGGTGTGCAGTACGTTTTCTTGTTTTTTTTAGTTCATTAGTTTGTGATCTTTCTTTTTTCCAGCTTTTTGAGCTATAATTGACAATAATAACAACTTTTAAATCCATTTTTTAAAAGAGAGTGTGGAAAGAACCAGCCTCCTATAACAGAACCCAGAAGAACACTAGCTATTCCCATAAGGACAGAGATGGTTGTATTAATACTAGTTTGACAAATCCAATTAGATGCCACGCAAGGATACGTCTGGGGTTCAAACAAAAAAGGACGTCACTCCAGTGCTCAGGAGAGCACTTAGCAGGGACCTAACTGGATACGGAAGGTGAGAATTGCCAGAATTGTAATAATAGCCAGTCATCGTCCAGTGGTTACTACAGGCCAAAAAATATGATCTTATTTAATCCTCACATCACCTGATAT